CATATATGTATTTACATTTACACATAGTCATACTCATAAGCACACACTTGCATAAATCTGTATTTTTAAGCAATATATACAGAGTGGTACACGTGTACTTGTCTGTATATTTTCACGTTGAATGTATTGTATTTCTTCATTTACATCGGAGCTATAGTTTGCAAATATTGCTGCGATTGTACACAGATGTTCTATCAATGAATCACCCCAACCACCATAATCACCACAGCTAATCCGCTGCCCTTCTCGAACCTCCGTCGCGTTATTGCGTACCGCTATGCCCAGGCGACAGCTCAGGTGACATCTACGACGAGTTAATTTCTCAGGTGACGGAACAACACAACCAGTGCTCAGCACTCGCACGCCAACTACTGAAACAAGGCGACAAGGCCCAGGCTGTGTCATTCCATTCACTTTCAAAAGCCTTCGACGCGGATCGCAAACGGTTGGCGGTTGCTAAGCAACACAACCACATTCCACAGTTCCATCGGGAGGAGCGCGTGATCAGAAGCGAACGGTCGTTTCCAGAGCTCTCTCCTAATCAATTGGAACTGGTTATTCTAGGTACGTTATGAATTAGTTATGAATTAGTTATGAACTAGTTCTGAACTAGTTTTTCTAGGCATGTTATGAACTAGTTATCGTAGGTATGATATCATCCTAGGTGTGCTTTAGCTTAAAGTGTACTTACAGGCTACCATGAAGGCCCCCCTCCATGTTTGCCCGCAGAATGTCATAGTAGTTTTGGGAGTGGGTTCGCGTTTTCGGATGGGCAGTCACTGTCCATCTGACTACGCTCACGCACGCTGCTGTGTAAGTCACTGGCACACAAAAGAATCGCTGACAGGCGTGTTGCGAGGTTATTGTTGTTTGTATTCGTTTATTTTACTACTGTGGGTTTTTTCCTGCTTCCATTGGGCTCATCTTTTATAAACCAGTTCGCAAAGTTAGATTAGTTGAGTATGTTAGTTTAGTATGTTAGTTATGTTAAATCAAGTATGTTTATCAAGTATGTTAATCAAGTATGTTAATCAAGTATGTTAATCAAGTATGTTAGTTAAGTATGTTAGTTAAGTATGTGAATCAATTATGTTAGGTAAGTATGTTAATCAAGTATGTTAGTCAAGTATGTTAATCAAGTATGTTAGTTAAGTATGTTAATTAAGTATGTTAATTAAGTATGATAATCAAGTATGTTACTTAAGCGTGTTAGATGCGTACATTAGTTATGTTGGCTGAGTATGTCGCTACTTACACCCACGCGTGTGCCTCTCATCCCTTCCCACAGAGGTGAAAGGTATTCCAAAGGACCTCGTGGGCAACAGCATGTCCATAGACTTTGAGTTTCCCTATCCCAGCGATGAAGTACAAAAGGGCACTACCAAACCATTCAAAGGTTCAGCCGAACACACACTCAACCATGTGGAACGCATCACCATCGGACGTAACAAGGTCAGCTGGCTGTGGTTGGCTATGTGCACAAGCCACAGGCG